CCCCCCCCCCCCCCCCCAATGACTTGCACCACATTAAGAAGAACTCTTTAACAAAAGTGTCTATGGCGAGTTTTTTTACCTATATGAGTACTGGGATAAGTCAGGCAGGCAGTTACTTTGGGAATGGGACAGTAATTGAACGTCGGCGTCAAAATGTGTGAGCTTAATTATTAGATAGTGTTTACATGACCTTCACCAGAAAACAGGACGTGTACAGCTATTTCAATTAAGGTTGTCCACGAGCAAAGCGGAAAAGTCGAATACGAGCGCGAAAGGCTGCTGGGAATCGTTAACAAATTAATGAATTTTCAAAGAGATTCCCAGCAGCCTTTCGCGCTCGTATTCGACTTTTCCGCTTTGCTCGTGGACAGCCTTAATTGAAATAGCTGTATACATTGTATGTGCACTTGCACAGTTGCACCCTGAGATAAACTACTTTGTGTGAGTAGTGGAAATCGGTGTCGACGTGCAACATACCAGCAATGATAAGACCGTTTGGTATGCCAGCTCGAGTGTGAGCTAAACTTGCAACTAAACTTGCTGACAATGTCTTAACTGCCTCGTCCTCTGACTTGAGCAGTTGCACTAAACACTCCATTCCTCGAGCTGATAGTTCAACCTAGAAGAAGAAAATAAATACTATAAGTCCCGACTTAGAGCAGGCCAGGATGCACGCGCAAGCAAAAGGAAGACAAGAAACGAAACATAGAAAACATGTAATAACACACACGACCTTTTTTCAGCTTTATCTTCATACGCCTCAAGAGAAGAGCTATGATTTGTTATTTTGTTTCCTCGTTTATGTCCTCTTCGCTATTGAAGACCAGTGTGAAATTGAAATCATACTTAAATTTGTACGATTTTGCCTTTCGAGTTCAATATTGTGACGAATAAAAACGAGTCCAACGTGGCAATCACGAAAACGAGGCTCTTTATTTATTTATTAAACTTTGCCAAAAACACGTAACAGAACAACAAATAGACATCTATAGACAATAAACATGGACAAGAATGGCAGGGACACCACAACAGTGTAAACCGATTACTGTGGGCCCTTATATAACCCAAGATGACGTATACTTTCCGAAAGGATATTTGCACGGAAGTGTATTTGCACGGGACGCATTTGAAACAGATGCGTGAAAACACACGCTTCCGAATTCGTCCGTAGTCGTAACAATAATGACGAAAACATTGCCAAAAACAATTTAAGGCACAGACAAAACAGTAGGATTAAGCAAAAATAAGACTCGAACTATCCATAGTCTTTCGAGACATGGTCTGGAAAGTCAGTAAACTTCAAAGCGGTTATAATGAGCTGTGTGTTTATGTTGAGCCGTACCTTACACCGTGCATATCCTT